CAAAATTTGACTTTATATGTAACTGGAAAAAATCAAATATTAATAAAAAGGAATATAAGTACAAAGTAATATAACTCTACAAAAAAGAAAGAAAGTTGCCAAGTTTATGCATAGGGAGAGGTAATGGGGAAGGGTAGCAGCCTTCCTCCTCATTGACTGGCATAGTAGATAGGAGACCTAGAATCAAAAAGACCCAGATTCACAATTGTGTAACCTTGAGAAAAATCACATGATCTCCATGAGACTCAAATTCCTCACCTATACAGAATAGAGGTGTGGGCAGCTATTTGGTACAATGAATACAGTATACAGCCTGGAATCAGGAGGACCCAAGCTCAGATGCAGCCTCAGACACCAGCTATGTGACCCTGAGCAAGTCACTTTACCCTGTTTGCCTCAGTTTCCTCATCTGTAAAATGAACAGGAGAAAGAAATGGCAAACCACTACTGTTATCTTTGCCAAGACAAGACAAATGGGGTTACAAAAAGTTGTACGTGACTGAAACAACTGAACAACAATGACATAGAATGGGGGGTGGTATTGCCTGTAGTAGCTACTACCCAGAGTTCATGGGAGGCTAATAGGAGATAAAAGTAAAAGCACTTTGGAATTTTGAGTTATCATTTGATTATCATTTATAATTTCAGTTATCATCCTCATAGCTATTTTCACCTTCATCATAAAATGCTAAAGGTTTGAGACAGATAACTTATTTACCTATCATCCCAAAGAACTCATTGGCCCACAGAACTATCTCAGGCACAAGGACTCAATCAAATTTCCAAGCAAAACTCAGGTCAGTTTATGCTGTTCATTTTGGGAAAACCACCAGTGTCTGTTCTTAAAAATGAAAAGAGGGGGCAGCTAGGTAGCGCAATGGATACAGCACCAGCCCTGGATTCAGAAGGACCTGAGTTCAAATCCAGCCTCAGATACATAACACTTACTAGCTGTGTGACCCCGGGCAAGTCACTTAACCCCACTGCCTAGCTCCCCCCAAAAAAAAGTCAAAAGAGGCTCTTTGGAAACCATTGTCTAAAGATAAGAAAGCCATCAAAGGGTATTTGTTTAAAAGCTCTTATGTTAACATCATTTTAACAATCTACAGAGAAAAGTCAAATGTGGATGCACCTTACAAGATGCTGATTATAGTATTTAGAGCTTGAAGGAACCTTAGAAATCATCTTTTGTAATCTCTCAGCAGGGATTTGAAGTAGGAGAGGACAGGGTTCAAATTCCACCTTAAAGCAAACGTTGTGAGACTGAGGATAGGTCACTTAAAACTGGCCAAGCATAGTTTCCTCATCTGTGGAATGGGAGTAGTAATAGCACCTACTTTACTACAGGGTCACTGTGAAGACTAAATACATGGCATGTGAAATGCTTTGTAAACCACCAGAAAAGCATACGTAGGTAGCAACATGGTGCAGAGAGTGCCAAGCCTGGAGGCAGGAAGAATCCTCTTCCTGAGTTCAAATCCAGCCTCATACTCTTATTACCTGGCCACCAGCAAGTCATTTAGCCCAGTTGCCCCAGTTTTCTCATCTGTAAAATGAGCTGGAGAAGGAAATGACAAATTCCTCTAGTATCTTTTCCTGGGAACCCCCAAAGGGGATCATGTAGAGTCGGATTTGATTGAAACAACTGATTAACAACAGACAGGAGGAAACTAAAGAGACAGAGGAAGTAATTTGCAAAGTAAGGAAGCCAAAATTAAAATTAAATTAAATGCAATTCAAACTGACTTGCCCACGATCACACAGCTATGAAGTATCTGAGGCAAGATTTGAACTCATGATGATTCGAGGCTTGGTGCTCTATCCACTACACCAACTAGCTGTCCTAATTCAAACTTAGCCCCTCTTAAGACCAAATTCATTTGACCTCACATTGCCACCTTACTAGAAAACTAAGTAAACACAAAGCTAACTTCAAATGATGATATGGTCAAGAGTGGTGTTGAGCACTACTGTGGGTGATTTAATCCATTTTGAGAGTCATGCCTTCACTCATCATTGTTAAAAATATCACATTTGGGGCAGGTAGGTGGCACAGTGTATAGAGCAGGAGGACCTGATTTCAAATCTGGCCTCAGACCAAATACTTGACACTTACTAGCTGTGTGACCCTAGGCAAGTCACTTAACCCCAATTGCCTAAAAATAAAATAAAAACAAAAATAAAAAATATCACATTTGTCCATGGCCGAAGAATGAAATGGGCTAGAGAAATTCAGTGTGTCCCTTTCACTATGGCTTATCTTTCCCATGGGGCAGGATTTTAGATTTAGACTTAGCAGGTATTCATTAAGCACTTGGGGTGTGTGTGTGCTTGGTATTGCGCTCAGTGCTTAACAAATATCTTCATTTGATCTTCACAACCACCTTTGGAGATAAGTGCTATAACTACAGATGAAACAAAGTAAGCAAACAGGGGTCACACAGATAGTGTCTGAGGCCAAACTGGAACGTGGGGAACACCAAGATGGGCCCATCATTCCTATTAGGATGGTCCCACCAAATGGGACAGTTGGAATGCTCTGCTACCATGGCTTGTTCATTCTGACCAGACAGATCTAATTGTGTCCAGTTATTTATTCTCCCAATACCTGTCACCATAGTATCTCATATCACGAAGCACTGAGATTTCTGTCTCATTTTATATGGTCAAACGTCAGGAATCTTCAGGGTCAGATAAGCAAAGAAGCTGATATCTTATCTGAGGGAAAATGCCAGTTAAGTATAAGACATAGTCACGAAGTTTAATTTTGACATATTGTGATGTAGATGATCTAGGTAAACGGCCAAGTGTACTTTGAGAGTAATAAGATTATAAGAGGTATGACTACTATCGGGTTAAAGGGTATCTCTTTATTAAATCACTGGGACAATCGAGAATCATCTCCACGTGAAGATCTTAATTCTTTTAAATCCTATCAAATGAGATAATAGCTACAAAGACATTAGCACAGTTACTTGAAATAGTAGGCACTAATAAATGCTTGTTCTCTTGTCTCTTGTTCAACCTTCCTTCTTCCTTAAGGCAAGATGGCACACTTACTGGACAGAGAGATGTGAGTATAAATCCTACCTCTAACCTTTAGCCTTTGACATATGGCTCGTTGAAGAATAGAAAATGCTGTTCTCCTCATTTATTTCCCAGGATAATGTAAGCTCCTGGAAGATGAAGGCCCCATCTTAAATTTCTTCTATGATGAATCATGTATAACATGTCAAGGCTGAATTGGCCTACAGAGGCAAACCCATAGAAGCAGTCTCTGAATCGTTACTCCTGGTTCCAGTTGAAGTACTGGGGCTTACATTATAACCCTATACCATTCTGGGCTAATGGGCATTCCTTGAAATAACAAAGAAAGCCCTTATTGTCTGTGGAGTCAGAAGAGCTGGTGAACAGGAGATATTGAAAAGGGGGTCATTGCTCCAAATCTCTATTTCCTTTTCCTACTGAAGTCAAGTCAGGACTTTTTTGAACTGCTTCTCAAGATGGGAAGGATTAGGGAAAAGGGTGCTGTTATCATTATGGCAATGAACTCATATGACTAGGCAAACCTAAACCAGGGTTTAGGATGCTAATCTAGTGTTTTTACTTTCTTGCTTTTAGACAACCAAGTATTCTGAAATAACTGAGTCTAGGTTCAAAGGCAGTTAGGAGTTTCAGAGATCCAGGGGCCTTGGGTCCCACTGGATTAGATGTAGATGGTGGAAGGAGAAGTGTCTACAGTGAAGAACAACCATTAAGGAGTATCCTGAGGCCAGCTATTTTTACAAGCAGACATGTTGGTGGGGCAGTATAGGACAGATGCAATTTAAAATTCCTACTTAGTACTCCTGCAAACATCATAAAAGTAAAAAGTTGGGAAGAGGTTTAAGTATTAGCTTGCTAACTATTATAACAGTAGTCATCAGTTTAGTTACCGAGCCCTATTTGTTGTGTGTATGTTTGCACAACGAAATCACCCATCACTTATCTCAGCAATCATTGTATACTGAATACAGTTTTTACTTCCCTTTTTGTGGAAAAACATTAGGTATAACCATAACAGAAAATATAAAAAAAACTTACCCCAGGGAACCAGGATGGGGATTTAATGAGCCAAAGAATAGAAGATTAATATCCCACCCACCCGCATCATTTTCATTAAACATTAGGTTAAAGAACTAAACCTGATCCAACCACATGTCTGGGTGCAGGACAGAGAAGTCCTCCGGGTGGAGAATACAGTACCTCTGCCTCATGGGCCCAGCAGCAGTTCCCCAAGGTAAGAAATGAAGAATTCTCTAATTTCATAAGGAGGGTAATAGCCTATGGAAAGCAGCCTGAAGGTGGCCTATGGGCCAACATTTACTGGTACATGGGTGGGTTTCCGTGACTGGGTTCTCCTGTCCTTATGCTCCATGAAGGAAATTAAATTCCTTTCAACCTTCAAAGATCCCCAAACCTCTTTATTGCCAACAGAACACAATGAAAATGACCGATATGCAAAAACAGATGCTTTATTTGCTGTATGGGCTACATGATTACATTCTGCTCACAAACTCTGAGGATGATTATGGGGTTGGACTGATTATTTTGGGTTCATGATCCCACAGACTAGGCTAGCACTGCTAGCCCCTTATGGATCTGGACCAGGGATTCTACTTGTATTCCCTACATCTAGTCAAGTGCCCTATAGATGACAAATAACTATTGATGATTTCTCACTTTCTCCTAAATAATAGTAGCCAGGTTGGCAAAGCCCTGTATAAATATTTTATTTCCTTTGAGTGTTACAACATCCCTAGGAGTGAGGAATTATTGTTTTCTGTGTAACTTTCAGAAAAAAAATGACCTTACTGTGTCTCAGTTTGCTCAGTTGCTCTTCTGCCTCCATATCTATGAGTGTATTACTGTCACTCATGAATGTGAAAAGGCCTAATTTTCCTTACTTGGTTCATATTCAGGTTTCCCATGTGTTTAAAAATACTTAAAAGTCTGTTTACCTGAAGTGGGCACTGAATTGGAAGGATCCATATGAGGACATCGAATTTCTGCTCCTTCTCTCTTCTGAAATGACCAAAAACATTTGTAGTTACCCAGCTGCAACATGACCTTAGATTTTAACTATAGGAGACATAGAGGTTTCCTGTCTGGAGCCATGGCTTTCAGTAGCCATACAAAGGAGCACAAATGTATAGGCTGGAGGACTGAAAGAAATCACGCTTTGGGGAGGAAAAAATAAACAGTACATAGAAAGTCTGACTCATTGGCAAATATATTCTTTCATATTTCAGGTTTCCCTCCTCATCAGATGATTCATAATCACCATGTTATTTGCCTGGATAGGGAAATTTGTATGAGTCAAAGGGCTTGTAAAGCCTATCTGCAAAGCTAATTTAAATACATTCTAGATTCCAACACTTGGCTGAAATAAGTCTCACTCTAGTTCTAAATAACAACAGCTAGTGAGGCTCTAGTCTGGTTATAAATAGGGCCAGACCACAGCTAGGGATAAATTCCTACTTTTTACAGGCACAACTCAGGATGGCACTCCAGGATAATAGCACTTGGGACTCCATGAGGAAGGAGCAAGGAAAGTATGACTAAGAGTAATTGTGTGGCTAAGTTGGGCTGCAGAGTGAGGAAATTTTTTCATCTTCCTTTTATTAGAGTTCTATGCTTTACTTTATTTCCCCAGTCTTCCTAAGTCTTTTATCTATTTCAGAGTGATGACAATCATCAGACAGAAAAACCTGGGGTTAATGGGTATTAAAAGAATTGGGGTGTGGTACAGTGGATAGAGCACTGTCCCTGGATTCAGGAGGACCTGAGTTCAAATCCGGCCTCCGACACGTAACACTCACTAGCTGTGTGACCCTGGGCAAGTCACTTAACCCCATTGCCTACCAAAAAAATAAAGAACTGGGGTACGGGAAATGGGGCTGTCCGGCCAACAAGGCTGGTGAGGTAGAGCAATTCTGACATACAAGGGTGTCTCCATTGGGGTGCAACAGTAAACGCACTGAACTTAGCCAGAGTCGCAGGACCTCGAGTTTGAATCTCAGCTCTGTCCCTTGCATTCTGTGTTTCCTTGGGCAAGTTAGGTCACTTCTCAGTGTCCTCATCTCTAAAACTAGGGAATTAGGAATAGATGGCCTCTCAGCACAGAGATGCATGATTCTAGTATCCATAAGACATCCCTCAAGCAATTTTTCAAAAGTGAATATGATATCTTTGAAAAAGCTTAGACTTCAAAACAATAGATATACTTGACACCTAACTTCACTAGCCATGGTTGATCCAGTCAAGTTTCCTCATGTGAAGAATGGGGAAATTTAAGCAGTATTTGTCCAGTGATGTACTGGAGTCAGGTTGAATGGAATGCTGCAAGAGCTGATTATTTCATTTTTAGCATTTAAATCTCAGAAATTGTCAAATGCTATTAATAAAGGATGACTATATCTATCATTCTGTTGATTGTATAGGCTTAAGAAAGTGATTGTGAAAACTCTAATGCAGATTAAACTTTTAAGTACACTCTACCTCCCTTCCCCCCCCATCAGTTGTTAAACCACCTCTCAATCCAAGGATAGCACATCCCTATATTTCTCCCACCTACTTTACAGTTGTTATGAGGAAAAAGCTTTGCAAACCTGAAAGAGTTGGATAAATTTGAGTTGTTGTTATATTATCATTTAGGTTAGGGATTCTTAATCTTTTTATTGTTTCATAGATGCCTTTGGCAGTCTCATGGTCAGAACAACATTTGTAACTGGAAAAAAATGCTAAACTTCACTTACAGGTTATTGAGAATAAATGTCACCTTTTCTCATGCAAATTCACAGATACCACACCCTGAAATATATATCAATAGACCGCCCTCCCCATTTAGCAAAAATTCTCCAATTTATTGAAGAGAATTGCTTTCAGGCCTCACTCTGGCGCCATACTAAGGACTTGAGGTTCTAGGTCTTAAAGAACAATGCAAAATGCTTTCAACAGCTTCTAAAGAACAAGCATGTATACAGAATGTGTATTTTTTCTTTTTGGTTCAATCATTTTGCATTCATGCCCAACTCTAAGTGAACACATTTGGAGTTTTCTTGGCAAAGATACTGGAGTGGTTGCCTATTTCCCTCTGCAGCTCATTTTACAGATGAGGAAACTCAGGCAAATGGGAAGTTAAGTGACTTCCCCAGGGATACACAGCTAGATTGAAAGCCTAGTGATCTATTGACTACACCACCTAGCTGCCCCTTTGTGTATTTACAAGCAACAAAAAACTAATACCTCAGGCTCGTTGGTGGTTTGTGGTGAGTCAGGGTGGTAATGACTATTTATGTAGGTGAATAGAGACGGTTGTTCCTGTAGAAAGAAAGCAACATAAGTTATGACTATAACACAAGAGTAAGGGTAAACCTGATAGTTATTAACCTTTATCATGGAACTCAGTTCCTTGTGAACTATGGAATTTATGCACATCCTTTAGTTGATGACTGAAACACTCACCGTCTTCCCTTGGGAATTCTCTTGGGAAGAAAGGGTCATATTTATTCTTTCATTCTCTATAGGTAGTGAATGATCACCTTTCATTTCTTTCTATGGCACACTCCATACACTAGTGGGCTGAATAAAGTATTCTGTCATTGCAGATTTCCTCTCCTATCGTGTTGGATAGCACAGTAGGGACTATGGCACCTCGTGTACAGCAGCCCTGCCCAATGTCCACCTCCCCAGATGTAGTCACCTGGGCAAGTTTGTTTGCCTATTGAAAATTTTTACTGGTTCTGCCAAAATAGATTTTGTCTAGACCTATGACCCTACTTGTAGGTTCAGTTTGTTTATTCAACTTTATCTTTACAATCTCTTTTAAAAACATTTTTATTAATATATTTTCTTTTCATATCACCTTCATTTCCTGATCTATTCCTTCTGTCTACCCTCCTAGAGTCATCCTTTGTAACAAAGAAAGAATGAAAGAGAAAAGAACAGTTCAGCAAAATAAGCAACAGACAAGTATGATAGGCTATGTAGTGTTCTTTCTCTACACAGAAGGGAAGAAAGTGAATCCTCCAACATTTTTCTTTGAGGCCAAGCTTTGTCATCATAATTTCACAGAATTCAGTTTCTGTACCTTGAGTTGCAAATAAGAACAATAATAGCTAACATTTATACTGCACTTACTATGTGGCAGGCACTATGTGGAGTATTTTTCAAATATATCACTTGATCCTGGGAGGTAGGTGCTATTATCTCCATTTTAGAGATGTAAACAAGTGTTAAGTTGCCATGCCAGGGTCACAAAGCAGTAATTGTCTAAGGGCAGATTTGGACTCTGTGACAGAGGGGGAATCCTACCATTCAATCCAGTACACCACCTAGATGAACAGGGGAAAATATTTTATCTAGCTGAGCCTCTGCTAAGGTGAGGAGTAGATAGGACTTTATACAACTGCAAAAGTCTCTGGCATATTCCTTCATTTCCCTCATTCCCTCTTCTATAAAGCTACAGTCTGTGCTAGTCCTACGTCAGGGTTGATCCAGCCAGCCTCCTCCTAAGAGCTTTATTTATTTGATGAATAAGAAGTGGCAGGCAGGTCTTAATGTGAAACATAATGCATTAACAGACATCAAGCATCAACAGCAATAAGCCTTGGGCTTGTGGGAGAATGCAGACAAATGCAGAGATACAAATTTGTATCTCCCATACAAACCTGATGCTCTGAAAGCCTGAGGCTCCAGGAGGGTCAGGGTAGAAATGGTCAACTCTTTGGCCCTGCTGTGCTTAGCTTAAGGAGGTTCTTCAGCTAGGATGGGGTTTGTTTGTCAGAAACAAATGGGCGTTATAATCGCAGGTGTAGATAAAATAACATTCAAAATGGAAGTGGCGAGGGAGAAATAGGATGTTGCTCTGTGTGTGTGTGTGTGTGTGTGTTTCAGAGCTCAGTTTTAAAGCTACACAGGTCACGTCAATTTGTGACAACAGGGAGTACAGAGGAACAGGAATGGACAGAGTGATGAAAATACACAGAGTGTGTATCCACTGCAATCACCCAAGGCCAGGAACTTGTAACAAGGAGAACCTGGGAGAGGTAGGTCAGTGTGAAGACCTTTATTTTATAGAGTATGAAACCAAGGTCATTAGGTCAAGTGTAGAGCCTCATTTGGCCTGTAGATGATTCCTAGCCAGCACAGCTACACCATCAAAGGAAGTGCTTTGGCTTTACAGTGGTGGGTCATCATCCCTGATCATTTGTCGTTTGCCTAGACCTCCACTCTGATGATTCATTTTGGCATGGATAAACAGCTTTGGATTCTTCATGGTCATGCCAGTTGAGTGTAATCACTCATCCAAGCTCAAAAAGGACAGGCCAGATTATAGACCTTACGTCCACTATTCTGCGACCAGTCTTGCCAAGTATGAAGAAGCTCATTGTCAGAGCAACAAAGAAGAGCGGTTGTTTGGGCCATAGGAATGCTTCTAAGTTAAAGAAGATCTACAATCTGCACAGGAAAGTAGCACTGAAAGTGATGATGTCATAGGTCACCAAAGTGCTCAAAAATCTCCACAAGTGGTGGATGAGTATGAAAGTCTCCATATTTTAGACTGTGATACTAAGATACCAAGAGTAGAACTGACTTTTTCAGTGATTGATGCTGTGCTTCTAGGACCATGTTTCTCTCCTTCTGAGCCCATGAGCTTTAAAAAAATGCCATCAAAATCACAACTTCAAGTTGCCCACCCTCTTGACCACACAACAAGCCAGCCCCTCACATCCTCTTCTTCACCCCCATCTTCAAACTGAGGTTTGGAAATGACATGCCCTCACAAGGGTCTGGGGAATGGGAAGATAGCATGGGGAAGCATATGAAAGTAGAGATGAGTTCTATTGGATCTGCTCATCATGCCTCCCTCCCCATATGAAAGTGGAAGGAAACTAAATGGTCAAAAAAGTACTGGTGTTGGGAAAGGCTTTAATAATTACATTTTTGGTGTTGAAAATAATAGAACCAGGTGACATAGAGTACCTCAGGCCATTAATGGGGAAAATGGACTAGCCAGAAGAGGAACCTGCCTTGCTATTTGCAATTACAAAGCTCATTTGCTACAGACACACTCAACCACTCCAATCATCAAGAGCATTCTCCCTACCCAATGGAACCCCTGTTTACCTCGGTAGGACACTTCACTGTAATTCCTTCTTCATCTGAAAATAACTTTTCCTTCCCAAGCGTTGGATCCATCTGGAAGAGAAAATGACGTGGAAGGTTCTTCTCAGCATGACACCATTCTAGGGTACCACTAATAGGCACAGGGTAGCTCATAGCAGGCATTGTCACATTGAGGGACAGCTCAGGAGGGATATGGCTTCAAATCACACCTCAGACACATCCCAGCTGTGTGACTCTCAACTGATCCCTTCACCTAGCTGAGCCCTAGTATCTTTATCTGTAAAATGGAAGTAATACTTGTACCACCTCCCTTGCAAGAAGGCACCATATAAATGGCAGAGATTTCACTCCAAGAGGAAAGACACCAATGTTCTGGGAATGCACTGTAGTGATCCCTTCAAAGCCGTCAATGTAGCTTTATTCTACTTCCCCAGTCTTGACTTCATGCATCCACAAATAAAAATATCTATTCCCAGTTTTATCCTTGGCTCTTCTGAGTCTGTGTATTTGGTCACTCTAACTTCCCTTTCTACAAGATTTCCTCCACTGATTTTACTTGACATTTTATGTAGTTCTCAAATACTTAGAGTTTTCTTCCTGCTACTAAACAATCAACAAGCATTACGAAGCACCCACTATGCCTGCAGTTTCCACCTTGTAAGGTTATTGTAGCATGCATTCCATTGACCCAATAGATAGAATTAGTTACTTGAGGGCAAGGACTTTGGTTTATGCTGATGTGAGCCCCAGCACTTCACATAATACCTGAAAACATTGTTCTTGCTGCTGTAAAATGGCAAACCACTCTAGTATGTTTACCTCCAACCTCTAACAGGGTCATGAAATGAAGAGATGACATGACTGAAGTGACGATACTACACTACAATACTAACAACATTACAGGCACTATACAAGGGGCTAGGGGTTCCTTAAACAAAAACCCAACAAAGAAGTTCCACCTCTCAAGAAACTTACATACCATCCTGCAACCTTCTGAGGTGGAACACTGTAGGCATTATTATTCTTATTTTATACTGAAGGAAAACGAGGTTAAAGAAATGACTTGCCCATGGCCAAAGCTATTAAGATTCAAAGCCAGGATTCAAACCAAGACTCCAAATGTAATACTGTTGTGCTATTTAACTTGTTGCCTTCCTTCAAGGTTTGAATGGAGGGTCACCCCTTTCATGAAACCATGCCTGATTTTCTAAGCCAGAGAAGATCTCTCCCTCCCCAGTCTGCTATGCCTCTCCATTTGATATCCGTTGAGAATGTGTCTCATTCTAAATTACATTATAGTTATCTGTCTACCTACCATTTTTTTACCTTGTATCCTAGTACTAGTGATGGGACCTGGTGAAGTACAGTGACATCTACATTTCCATTACAATAATTATGGCCAAGTTTTGATCATCTGGGGCTCATTATGTAGTCTGTGAATCATGGGATTCCTCAGTGTTTTCCTCTTGAATCTTCCTGATGGAATTTTGGGCATTGCACTGATTATTAGGGATGGGAAAGGAAAACAAAATTTTATGGAGGGGCCCAAAAGAGCTAGATGATTTCTAACTAGTTTGTAGCTTACAGCAAATTACTTTGTATAAACCTTGCATTTATTTACTTGGACATGTCAGGTTACCTAGCAGAATATAAACTCATTGAAGACAGGGATTGTTTCATTTCTTGTTTTTGTATCACTAAAGCAGGGGAACTTGAATTTGGATTTAAAAAAATTTTTTTTGACAACTTCAATATAACTAGTTTCCTTTGTTAATTCAGTGTATTTTATTTCATGCATTTAAAAGCATTATTCTGAAGAGTCCGTAGACTCTACCAGAGTTCCAAAGAAGGCCATGACAGACACAAAATGGTTAAGAACCCATGTTCTAGGGAACAGCACTGTGCCTTGCAAATAGTAGATGCTTAATAAATATTTGGTGAATTGAATTTTGTCCCTCCTTCCTTTTATTTTCTGTACATACTAAAATATGCCAATCAATCTTTTATCTCATCCGTTTGGCTAATTCCCACCCTGCCAGATACAAGGACATATCCTGGGCAGAGAGCCACTGGTGTAAATAAAACTTTCTACCTGCTCTTCCTTTCATTTTCTTGTTCAGTCACTCTAGCCTTAGACAGAACCAAGTTCTCCAAAAGTGTCTTATCTTATCTTTGCATAGCACCTGTGTTCCAGTAAATGAGGAGAAAGGTGAGAGAACTTTAACCTTCTTCCAATTTTCTGTGAAACATCTGATTAGAAGGGGTTCCAAATAAGTAGGTTCTGATCATGATACCCCATGGAGTAATTACAGCAGCCCAAAGCAAGGGATGGAAGAAGGAAAAGACATTGCAACCTTCATGCAAGAGCTAGTCACATTCCAGATTTACCCAAGACTCTGTGTGGGGCTCAAACCAGAGCAAGGCTGTTCTTCAGGGCAGGAAGGGGCAAGCTTGATGCACAGAATACTGACGGGAGGGCTTTTATCCTCTCTATGTTTGTTATGGCCCATAGCCAGGCCAGAGGATCGGGGGACCATAAGATTCAGAGCTGAAAGGGCTTTCACGCAACCTGCTAATGACCTAGGTTCAACCCCCTCATTTTAAGGGTATGAAAATTAAGGACCTAAGAGGGGAAGAAACTAGTTTAGTCATTAAGAAAAAAGGCTTCACCAGTTTTCACAACAGCCTTGAGAGAAAGTAAAGGCCGTATAATTGGGAGGCAAGATGGTATTGTGAAAAACATAGTAGACTTCTAAAAAACACCTGATTTCAAGGGCTAAAGGTCATTTTCTAGCTGTGGGATCTTAGGGAAGCTATTTAATATATTGTCACAACAGTCAAATGAAAAGATATATGAAAAAAGAACACACATGTAATACATATGAAACAAGATCATGTAATAGAAAGTGTGTGCAGGAAACTTGAGCCTGCTCACAAGAACCTATTCTCAGAATTACCATTCACACCACTGAATTTGGCTAATGCTACAAACCAGGGTCTGCCTTACTGTTTCATTGATTATTTAACACCTGAGAAAGTGATGGAGATTATATTAATGATGCAATTTAAAGTGAAAAATGTATCCTGAGTACATTTCTTTAGAGAACAGTAAACATTTACCATTACTGTCCTGAGTATAGAGCGATATAATGCTAAGCTGCTGTCTTTCCTAATTGATAGTTGGGGAAACTGAGGCATAAAGAGATTAAGTGAATCACCTCAAATTTCAATTAATAGTAGAATTAGAATGAGAAGCTAGGCTTCATGGGTAGAACACTGTGGTGGAAAGTATACTGCTTTCTGGAGTCAGAAGATGAGAATTAAAATCCTACCTCTCACCCTCACTACTGGTGTGACATTGGGCAAGTCACTTAAACCTCATTGGGTTGCAGTTTCCTCCTGTACAAAATGAAGGGGTTAGATTAGGTAGCTTGTGAACTCCCTTCTGTCTGTAATTCTATGAAATGTAATTAGAAATAATTGTCCAGCGTCTTTTCCATTCAGTTTCCTGGCCTCAAGTTTCTCATGGAGTTGGCAATGGTCTGGCAAGTGGTAGGAGAGTATGGGTAGGGGTGGGGATGAACAAAAGGGAGGCTGAGTGAGACTTCAGTCAAGATTTTTGCCATGTAACACTCAGACCTGTGAGGGACATTTGCCTCAGTATTCTTGGAATGTTGCACCTGCCTGCCCTCCCCAACTCATCACCTAACTTAATAACCAGTGTTACAACGACTTGTTCCTGAGAAGCACCGTGGGAGATGCAGGGACTTGTAGAAGATTGGGAGGACAGTTCTTGAGGGCAAGTGGTAGGTACGAGTGAGCTGTAACAATCAGCTCTCTGAGATATCCCCTCCCCCAGCTCCACTCCACGCTTGCTGTGGTATCTTCCTCATTTCAACATGAATAAAATTGTTTGGTTCCTAGCCTATGCCCCCCAATATATATTTTGGGGTATCCTGATCTGAAATTTCACCAGTGTGAGAAAACCCAAATATGGAAACTCTCTCTACAAATTGGGATCAGTAATTCATCTGTAACTTATCATCTTAAAGAGTTTACTGAGCCACTTGAAGGTTGTGACTGGCCCAGCCAATATGCCAGAGGTAGGAGCTAAAGGCAGGTCTTCATGACTTCTGTAATAGCTTTTCATCCATTATGCGATGTTACATGATAACTTGCACGTAATAGTCACTAAATAATAAATGTTTATTGAACGAAATTGTTTGTTCAGCAAGCAAAGGAGAGAAAGGACATTGCAGTAGTCATGAAGTAGGCACCGTGTAATAAATGTTTGTGGAAAATTATTTGTTGAGCAAACAAAGGAGAGAAGAAATTCTAGGCAGAGACAGTAACAATACAATAACTTACCTAGTATACCAGGCACTTACAATTATTATTTAATTTAATCACCATAATAACACTAGGAGGTAGGTGCTATTATTATTCACGTTTTACAGATGAGGAAATTGAGGCAGAGGAAGATAAATGAATTGGCCAGGGTCACATAGTATCTCAGGCAGAATTCGAACTCAGGCTTTCTGGGCTCCAAGGCTGGAGTCGGGAAGATTTGAGTTTGAATACTGCCTTACTAAATCACTTAACCTCTATTTATTCAGTTTCCTGATCTGTAAAGTAGAGATATAATAATGATACTTCCCTCCCAGAGTTGTAAAGATCAAATGAGTTAACTTTGTAAAGCATTTTTCAAAGTGTAAAGCATTACATGAAAGCTGACTATTATTCACTGCAACACCTTGCTGCCTAACAACATGAACAAAGGCCTGGAGTTAAAACACCAAAACAAAAACTTAGGGCATAATTGTTGTATAAGGAACAGTCCAGTTTGCCTGGAGCACAAAGTACTGGGTAGAGAAGAATATGAGAAGAATGGACAGGAAGGATGGTGACAGATGGAGGGTCTTGAACATAGGCAAACTCATTTGAATTTTCCTTGGAGGAAGTAACAGGGAACCATGAAGGGTTTTCAGGCAGAGGAGGGTCATAAGTACATAATAGGTACTCAGCAAATACCTGAATAATTTTGCCAGAGAGAGAGAGAGAGAAGAGGGGAAAAGGGAGAGGGAGAGGGAGAGAGAAAGAAAAGAAAGAGAGAGAGGATAGGGAGGAGAAAAAGAGGAAAATCGAAGGAGGAGAAAGGAGAGAGGGAGTGAGGCTGGTAAAGAGGGAGAGAGGAAAATGAAGTAATAAGAGGAAGACGGTTTGTGATAAGCATCATTAACACTTCTCACCTCCAGGGTGACAGGCAATGAATGGACAGGGAGGGCGGCCCACAAGGGGCAGGCCTTGCCTGACTATTTCAGGATCACATAGCATGTTAGTAACAGCAGCGTTTTCCTGAGCAGATTTCTCCCTCCAGCCAAGGTCAGTGAGGCCGAATAGAAAAGACTTTGTAAGACAATCTGCCCCTTCAAACATTTGACCCTAGAAAGAAATCCAGCACCTCTCCCCAGGGGCAGTGTGTTTCTCATTTGCTCTGGCTGCCTTGGTGGGAACTTTTCTCCCCTCTACAAGATTCCCTTCTCAGGCCCCTTCCAGGTTGACACATGTCGAAATGCAGCTGTTCCCATCAGCCAGCCAACAAGTCCCTCAGCTGGGAGGAGGGAGGCCCTTCTCTAAACCAAGGGAGAAGAAAAACATGTTTCTGTCACTGGAGTTCTAAAAATAGGGCAGCTTGGAAAGGGGAAAAAAATGGGAACCAGCAGCTCTCTGCCTGAACCTGGAGAGTCACAGAAAGGAAAGGACTTGAGGTGGGGGCTTGAATACTAGTGAGAAACAGAGACCTCTGAGGACAACGCTCAGGCCTGTCAGGATTGTGAGCAAGCCCAAGGCTAGCCCCTTGTCCAAGGTATTCATCAGTCTGTGCTTCATTTCACATATTTGGTGGCAGAACAGTTTGGCTGTAAGAAAATGGACTCTGGAAGCCACTACATAGCTAGTAAATGCGTGTGGCTGGATTTAAACTCAGGTCCTACTGACTATAAGTCAGGCACTCTAGCCACTGTGTTACCTAAATCACTGTGGATAGGATCACAGCTGCAGAGGTGAAAGGGAGCTCAGGGACCATGTATTTCAACTCATTAATTACAAAAGAGGAAACTGAGGCAGAGAGAGGTTAAGTGCCTTGGCCAAAGTCACATAAGTAGCAAGGGTGAGAGTTGGGATTTGAACCCAGGTCCTTTGACTCCACATGAGACAGCTAGGTGGCACCATAGTGAACACAGCCCCAGGCCTTAACTCAGGAAGACTTACCAACCTAAGTTCAAATCCAACCTTGGATAGCTGTGTGAACTTGGGCAAGTCACTTAACCTATTTGCCTCAGTTCTCAGTTCTCTCATGTGTAAAATGAGGTAGAGAAGGAAATGGCAAAACACTACGCTATCTTTGCCAATAAAACCCCCAAAACAACAACCACCACCACCTCTGGGGAGTATGAATCCTAGCCATTACTTGTGTTCTAGGGCAACTGGGTAGATGACAGAGCTCATAGGTTCAATTCGACCATTTTGAAAAGTGTTTATTAAGCACCTACTTCACATAAAGAAAACACTTTATAGTAGTGTTCTCAGGCAGTCATATATCTTTTTCTTTTTTTTAGGCAATTGGGATTAAGTGACTTGCTGAGGGTCACACAGCTAGTAAGTGTCAAGTGTTTGGTCTGAGGCCATATTTGAACTCAGGTCCTCCTGACTCCAGGGTCGGTGCTTTATCCACTGTGCCACCTAGATGCCCCATCGTAGATCTTTAGAGGTGGAAAAGGGACCTAGGAAATCACCTAATAATCCATTCCCCTCATTTTCCTTAGAAACCTGAGGCTCAGAGCTGGCCCATGAGTACAGCTGACAAATGGTTGAGCTGGGAAGAGAACCCACCTCTCCTAGCTCTTGTTCTATTGCTCAGTTAACTCCACTGAGAGGTTAAGTGTGAAACACACAGAAATTCTGGGAAGAATGGACATGAGATATCCAAGGAAGATTGCTACTCCACAGCCTGCTCAATGTCTAGAATAAAATGCTGCCTGGCGTGAAGCACTAGGAAAGAGGACCTTGTCAAACAATCACATGTGGACCCAGAAGAGGGCTGAATAAAAAGAATTAATGCTAACTCTGAAGTGTACCACCTCTACCGACCCCCATGCCCTGGGACCTCCAGCAGGGCAGAATTGTCAGAACACACAAAGCCGAAAACAGCTTCAGCCAGGGCTTGGCAGAGCTCCACATGGCGCCTTGCCAGCCAAGGTCACAGCCTAGGGAATGCCCATCTGCTTTCCCTGTAGCAATTAGTGATAAATTAATTGGGAGGTATGCAGTAGTTGTACATTTTGCCCCTCTAGTTCTAGGCCTACAGCAAAAGCCTCTGGCCCTGCACCACAGTTCTAGGACAAGCGTGCCAATAGGGATTGTGTTAACTCACCATGCCATTCCAGAGGTTCAAAGCAAGCACAACTGATGACTCGTTCAGGGAAGGGCCAAAAGTCTCATTGCCCTGCAAAAGAACCCATGAGAGATGAAACTTCAGAACTTGGGAACCAGACAGGGTGCTACCCTGAGCAGATTTTACACTAATGGAAATGTTTCTATTCTGATTCGTGTAGACTCTTACCCTACCAGCACACAGGTAGGAGTACTTGCCCCTGTGACAAATGACTACAGGTGTGAGATCTAGGTCAGGGATCTAGGATGTTTCTGTAAAGGAGCGTGTACATTGTTACCTATAGGAATAACAAAACAAAATTCCTGTACTCATTATCATGGGGCTTTGAACAACTGAACTCCCAAAATCAAGGCTGAATGACAGGCATTTAATATAACTTATATTATACCTACATATAATATACAGTTTAATAAGGTAGTTTGACCTAATTGATCCCTGAGGATCATCTAGAATTAGGACAATATGTAGAACAAAGGTCATAGCTTATTGTTCCTGGAGTAGGCTAGTGCTCTGGAATCTGTTTTTAGAGGTTCCAGTTAACAAAACTGGAAAAAAAGAAGCTACTAGCATCTTACCTCTCTCCCCCAGCACTTAAACTCTAGATAGAATGAATATAGCTAAATATCTTTCCTTCTCTGGGCTTCAGTTTACTAATACTTCAAATCAGAGCTCTGGACTAACTGATCCCTAATGTGTTTATCAGCCATGGATTTGGGCCAGAAAGCAATATGTTACAAGAGTATGGCTGTGAGCTCTTTCTTCACTCCCTTCTATCTTTGGTATTAGCCCACCCCCTACACTCACCAGGAAAAGAGAAGCGTCCACTTCCTGGAAGAAAGGTTGGTAAATTACTGTGAAAGTATCCTGTGTGTCATATCTGCCTGAGGCCAGGAATTTTTCCCATGAATTCTGGAAAAAGAAAAAAAAAACAAATACGTGAGGGAGGGGTCGAGCAACTGGGTAAAGTGCCAAGCCTCACCTGACCACATGAAGTTTTCTTTTTGTTGTACTTTCTGGGGATCTTGAATAGACAGTGACTAGACAGCATCTATTCTGGCTTCAATACTGACTTGATATGTGGCCTTGGGCAAGTCACTTCAATTCTCTGAGGCTGTTTTCTCCTCAAATGAAGAAATGTACTACCTTTCCTATAGGACAGTAGTTAGGAAATATATAAGCCTTAAAGTGGCAATAAAATGCCATTTTAATGCACTTAAGATTTTGCATAGCCATCACTTAAAAAAAACATTCAGCAAATGTCATATAGAAAGGAAATCCCCATTTCACAGGTGAGAAAATAGATTCCAGAGGAAAGTACAATAGCTCCTGCCACCCAAGTAATTTCAGCAAGTTGGAGTGCATGGAAGGTTTGTTATGCCTTTGCACCAGTGTCAGGGAACGGAAATTAGCATCTGAGGGCAGGGCTTAGACAGGAGACTCGACATGAGTGGAGCCAGAGGCAACCTCCTCCTCTCAGGCTTCTTGGCTCTTTCTGAGCCAATGCTTGATGCCATGCCCCAAAGGTGGCATCTCACCTGATAGTACCATCTCTGCAAAGCTGTGGCCAGTTCAGAATAATCCTCTGAGCATTCACACACTTCCTTCAGGTCCCTGTAGATCAAAACAGAAACAAAAGCCCTGGGTTTCAATCTGGCTTCTAATGCTTATTCCCCCAGTGACTTTGGACAAGTCATTGAACCTCCCTGGGACTCAGTTTCCTCATTTGAAAAATGGGAGACTAGACTAGATGTAAAATTCTTAACTAGCATCTTTGAAATTGGTTTGTGTTGATAACTCTATGTCTATGATTCCTTTATCTATGTGATATGTCTATATGGTACTTTGTATTCTATTTTATACATTTAAAATCGTTATTCTGAGACAGGATCAAAAAGTATCATCAGATTGCCAAAGATGCCCATTACACAAGATTAAGAAGCCCTGATCCATAGTCCTTTCCAGCTTAGATCATAAATCTATGATCCTTTGCCCTCTAGGGGACAACAAGCTGCCATGGACCAGACAGATGGGAGCCCAGGAGTAGGGCTTAGGAGAAAGAGCTGAGGCCCATCATCAAAGGGAAATTAATAAATAAGGAGAGATGAAGTGAACAAAGGTGAAAAGTCACTGGGGCTCAAATTCTCCCATCCCTATTTCAATTTTAAAGACAGGTATGGGGTTGCAATGGGTAGAGAACCAAGCTTGGAGTCAGGAAGATCTAAGTTCAAATTTGAACTCACATACTAGCTGTGTGAAGCTGAGCAAGTCACTCTAGTCACCTCAGTTCCTCTTCTGCAAAATAAAGGCACACTAGAGAAGGAAATGGCAAACTAATCCAATATTTTTGCCATGAAAGTCCCATGGACTAAAGTCTGTGGGGTCATGTAGAGTCAGACGTGACTGAAAAATAAGAACATCTCATTTCAGGCTTGTAGGTTACCATTAATTTAGCTTAAAAAAAAAAAGAGCCATCACTGTATGGTATTCCTAGTTAGTATGCACACTTTTTTGATACAATTTCTCTTAGGAATAGCTTTTACTAGGTTAGTCAATTATTACCTGCTATCTGGCAGAGGAGAGGTTTCCTAACTCTAGGCCAGGTAGGAAGGGCATAAGAACTGGGCTTGGTAGGTAGGATAGCCATACGTACTAAGAGTGGAAAAAAACGCCCGACTATAGGTTGAGATGGGGGTGCTGTTCCTTATTTTTTTCTTAGCACTTTTTCCCTTGGAGTGCCTCCTTCCCATCCATTCTTTCTTGTTCCCTCAGCTCTTTCCTTTCCACTTCTCTCAGTTTTATCTCTTGCCCCCTCTGTTTCTTCAGCATCTCTTATGTGAATATTGACTTGGCTCATTCATTCCTAGAGGTGAAACCTAGAGGTCTGGTGATGTGAGCCATCATGTGATCATAGGATCAAACCTGTAGAGCTGGAGGTCATCTAAACCAACTCTCTCATTTGACAAATGAGGAAACTGGCCCAGGAAGGGGTAGTGACATGTCCAGGGTCACATCCTGTCTGAGGAAGAAGAATTTAAACCGTACCTTCCTAATTCCAAGTCCCATGTTCCATTCACTAAGTTAGAGGTGTCAAACATGGAGTCTTTAGCCCCAAAACTCCTGTCTGGCAATCAGATTAAAATGTAATTGGAAAACATTTAACAAAATATATAAAAGGGACAATGTCAATATGAGATTTTTTTTAAGTCAATGTGCAGACTATGAGGTTACTTATATACAGTTTAGTATCCCATATCTTTCTTTCCTTTGTTTTCACTGCTGCACAAGATATGTTTGAAAAACCCTGGTATCAGTGTTAAAAAAAATTTTATGATAATCTACTATGAATAACTTAGCTATTCTCAACAATACAATGATCCAAGATAATTCTGAAAGACTTATGAAGAAAGATGCTGTCCATCTCCATGGAAAGAACTGATGGAGCCTGAATGCAGGTAAAAAATACATTTTATTCATTTTTCTTGGGTTTTTTTGTCTGCATTTTCTTTCACAGAATGGCTTACATGGAAATGTGTTGTGTGACTACACATGCATAACCACTATGTCAAATTGCTTACCTTCTCAATAAAAGGGAGTGGGGAAGGAGGGGAGAGAATTTGTAACTCAAAATTTGAAGAAAAAAAAAGTTGTTATTACATGTAATTGAGAAAATAAAATATTAAACAAGACTTTTAAAAAATGAGTATTTCAGGTAAAATTGGCTATCCAGTGATCAAGGTTTCACTTAAAATCATAAAGGGAAAATTTCATGACTTTCTGACAAAATTTAGCATGAAATCCTACTCCTTTCCTTTCACTAGACTGAATTGATCTTAGATTCTTCAAGAAGTAATAAGAGCTGAAATTCAGATGATCCTATCAGGGGTGGGAAACCTGGGGGTTTAGGTTCTGCACCCCTGTTTTAGAGCTAGAAGAGCTATCTAGTCCAAACTCTTCATTTTACAGACATGGAAAAATGAGGCCAAGGAAAGTGAAAAAAGTCAGTGGCCTGAACCAGGGTTTGTTTACATGTGGATCCTCTAAAACTCCAACAATGTTCCTTCTACAGTTCCATGCCATGTGTTGCATGAGGATTCCAGTAGAAAGTTTAGCACTTGATTCCAAAAATGTCATCTCAGGACACTCGTGGGCTAGGCTCACCTGGGTCCATCCTCCAGCTGTGACATAATCCAAGCTTCTGAGGCATCCACCAGATTCACAAAGGCTTTGGGGACCTAAGAGACCATAGGAGAGAGAGTGATACCTGTAAAATCACAATCATTCTGCAGGAGAAGTGTGTTGACCATTTGGTGACTGCTTTGGCAATGATACAAACCCTAGTGTGGAACACCTTAAACTCATGGGCTGCCGTGCTTGCTACATTCATTTGGAGTAGTCATCTTTATGCCTATGTGCATCACACCAAGCTTATTTGTCAAACAAAAAGGATTCATGGTAGCATGCTTGGGCATTAGATTCTATTTAGAATAAATGTCAAAACCCACCCAGTCAGATTCACAAGGAGGCCACTGACAAAGTCAGGAACCATAAGCCACAACCATTTTTCTTCCCATTATTTTTTATAATCACATACATTATAATGCAAAAAAAATCGACTCACCAAAGCCAGTCAGTGTGTCAAACCTGCTATCTATAGACCATACAACCAGGGAGGCAAGAATCACATTAAGATGTAATTGGGAAATATTTAACAAAATAAATAAAAATTAAATAGAACATAGATAATGTTAATAAATGGTTGTGAAAGTTAATGTCAGGCACACAGGTTGTACGATTTAGTGGCCCTGTTTCTATTTGAGTTTGATGCCATTGGCATAGAGGATGAAGTGCTAGAAGCAATAGGGTTAAGTGACTTGCCTAGGGTCACGCAGATAAATAAGTATGTAAGGCTGGATTTGAACTCAGGTCCTCCTGACTTCAGGGCCAGTGCTCTATCCATTGTGCCACTTAGCTGCCCCTATCACTGTGTATTCTTCAATAAAGCCTGTGAAAACAAGGCACATGACCCAGGCTCCACTATCTCAAATCATGGGAATCCTTTGAACGCAAGCCGAAAGTCTCCACTGAGGATAGAGTTTTTAAAAATGAAGACAGGGCAGGGAAGACAAAGTTTCAAATGCTTTAACCCAGTTCCGCAAGGTATCCTGTCCAGTCCATTAGAGAGTACATTCTTTTAGTTTGAGGCCAGAACTTTATCTGAGATGACATCATCTCAGGATGGTGTCTGGAAACTTTCTCCTGGGGAGAAGAGCAAGACTCAGCCCATAAAAATCCCTTTTAGCCCTGAGGAAGCTTTTCTCACTGAGAGAAAAACTGTTTGGATCAAGTGAACATGTAAGAATGAATGTGTAGAAGAACACCACAGAGCTCACTCCCAGCCTAGTGTTTGGAGATTCACAGAGCACTTCCACCACAACACTCTTGAGATCAGTAGCACCTCATTCCAATTTTAGAGTTTAGGAAACTGAGGCACAGAGAGGTATACAGCCTTGCCCAGGGTCACACAGCCAGAAAATATCAGTATTGTGGAACTTGAACACAGGTACTCAGTCTCCCAAGGTAGTGCAGCAGATAAGAGGATTGGGTAGAGTATTGGGTCTAAGGTCAGCATGATTTGAGCCTCAGGATTCTTGACCTCAGGAACTTATAAGCTGAATGACCATGGGCAAGTCATTTAACCTCAGTCTGTTTCTGAAGTTTTAAAATGGAAATAATGCTAGCATTCAGTTCCCAGGATTGCTGTGCAGAGCAAGAGGAATATTTGTAAAGCACTTAGCACTGTGCTGGCACACAGTAGGTAGGTGCTTAATAAATGCTACCTCCTTCCTTTTCTCCCTCCCTTGCACCAATGTTCATTCATCTATACCAGGCTACCTTCCAAATTCTAAGTCTTAGAATAGGAAAGTACAAATTGGTGGGTGTTACCATAGGCAACAGAATGTTGCAAGAGAAAACAAAGTGGTATAAAAAAAAAAAAAAGGAGATGGTAAAACATCCATCCCTTTCCAGGTTACCCCGACCTTCTCACATGCCAGTAGGTCAGCAATCCTTGGGAGCATAAGAAGTCACTGGGCTCTGTGTTTTAATCACTCACAACCACTGGCCACCAGGGTTTTGTTATTTATTTTCCCACACAGAAATTTATCTTGGAAAAGTCCTATTCAGAGGCCCAGAACTTGCTGCCAAGCTCCTAGGGTTTACAAGTTAACATGGTCAAAGAACTGACTGAAACAGCTCTGTTAGGTCTTGATCTTGGGCATGATTTAGCCTTCAAAACACATGCAGTCAGATGCGGTATTAAAAGAGCCACAGTATCCACGACAAGAAATGTGATGCCCTAAGATCTAACACCCACCCCTTTGAAAGACAACTTCTAGTCCATGGTACTTGAGTTTGTGGGAGTACGTGCTTGGTTCATTGGGTAGATATGTGTTCCTGTAGGTGACTAAGAGGCTGAGGTCATACCAGGGTACTAGAAATCTGAGAAATAGAGTCCTGAAAAATCCTTACCTCCCGATGCAAATAGTCCAAGACTCCTGTTAGTTCTTGCATGCTGCTGGTCATGTGATCATCCTACAAGAAAGAGATATGCCTTGGAGGAAAAGGTTTCTGCAAAACATTTCTTGCCAGAAAAGAACTTTCCTGGAGACCTGTCTCCCTCCACTGGCCAAGAGGACAATCCTACTCTATATGATAGTTCTCCAGCAAACAGTGGGTAATTCTTGAGGGGTCTTCCTATTTATGGCTACTTCTGAGTTACCTTCATCTCTCTTACCTACCAAGACAACTTGAGTGAGGTAAGCACTGTCTGGCCAGCTGTGTAGCTAACCTTCACAGGTATTGGCAATAGGAATTGTTCTCCCAAGGTTTGGTAGGTAACAGTTTTTCCCAGAGAAAATCAGTCATGCAAAGAATTCATCCATAGGGGCAGCTAGGTGGCGCAGTGGATAGAGCACTGGCCCTGAAGTCAGGAGGACCTGAGCTCAAATCTGACCTCAGACCAAACACTTGACACTTACTAGCCATATGACCCTGGGCAAGTCACTTAACCCCAATTGCCAGAAAGAAAGAAAGAAAGAAAGAAAGAAAGAAAGAAGAAAGAAAGAAAGAAAGAAAGAAAGAAAGAAAGAATTCATCCAGAGGTTTCCTGATTCATCCCAAGGTGTTCATTCATTCATTCAATCAATCATTCAGCAAGTATAAAAGCTTACTGTGTGTCAGGCCCTGTCCAAGATCCTGAAGATAAAGAGTAAAAAATGAAATAGTTTCTCCCCCCATGGAGCATCCCCCATGAAAAGGTAAGCCCTTTGAGGATAAGGAGAAGAATTTGGTTTCATCCTTGCATTTCTAGTGTGCTCAATACATGTTGTTATGAATAGAATTTTATTAGCCCCTCTTCTCCTCTTTATTTTTACTAAGACAGAAAAAGGGTCACCAGAGTAAGAGACAGCCTAGGTCCCTTTCTAGCATTGGTGCCTGTTTTTAGACAGGTAAGTAAAACACATCACTACATATAACACATTTCTTCCTTCCCTGTAGCTGGGAAAATGAAATTATCATTCAGGGTTCCTCAAAATGTTTGTGAGATTGACACCATAAATGAAGACTCTCCCTTTTTCAGTGGAAAAAATCAAACCAACCTCTACCCAACCCAAACCATATGCACATTGGCTGGCTGTCCCCTGAGGCTACAGGGCCCAGGCAGGCAGCTAGGGCTGCTGGGAAAGAGGGCTGACAATTATTTTATTCCCTTGGGGGACACTAACAGAGAAGCTAGGACAGCTGCCAATTCCCTCAGGTATTGATTCCACCCAGAAGGGAAGTGGGCCAACTCCCCTCAAAATAAAATTGCCCACTTAGAGGAAAACTAGACCTGTCCCATTAACAGGTTTCAGCTGCCTGAAATGAAGGATTCAGGAACATGTTTTTCCTTAGCTGATGGAGACCCATGTTCTCTCTCTCTAAACATGAAGCCTTTCCTGAGAGGCCCTCCCATAGTTAAAAATGGTTTCCCCTTCTTTCTTTTCCTGGCTCTGAATTCTGTTTGCACCTCTGTGGTTGACCCTTCTATTTAACATTTATTATGTGCCTACTATGGGCAAGTTGCTATGCTTGAGGCTGGTACTATGAGCAAGGTGCTATGCTCTGAGATGGATTTCAGCTCAGTCCAACAATATTCTACATTCTATAGTGTTTTATAATTTATGAAGTCCTTCCCCAAGGATGCCATTTTGAAGCACAACATTTTATGATTCCCATTTAATAAAGAACCAAACAAAGGTCACTCAGAGCCAGTTAACTATGGGTGGTGGGATTTAAATCCAAAGCTCCCAATTTGAAATCTAGTTCACTTTTCATCATACCACCCCTCTTGGAAAGGGCAATAGAGATCACCCAATCCAACATCTGCATTTGACAGAAGAGGAAATTGAGGATGGAAGAGGCAAGGAGCTGGCCCCTAGGTCAAGAGGTAATAAGAGGAAGAGTCAGGATTAGAATTCAGTTTTCTTTTTGCACATAGGATTTCAAGTGGAAAAGAGCTTTAAAGGTTGATCAGTCCAACACCCACACTTAAAAGGGAAATGAAACCAAGGGAAAGCAAAGTCACCTAACTAATAAAAGTCTGAGATTAGATTTCAACCTTGATTGCATGATTCCAAGTAGAGCACTCAGCCTGTTGAACTTATCTTTTAGAACACATGGATCTCCTATGTGTAGGCGTGGGGGGTGGGGGTAGGGTATGTAGGTATATGTAAATGCATACGGTCCTGAGTTCATAGGGTGAAGTCAACTTCTTAGATTCCTTTAGCGTTTGCTAATCACTTACAAAACAAACAAACCTCTCACACTGGACATAGGTACTGCAGGAAGTAAGTATATAACAAGGAGAAGGCATACTCCCTGCCCTAAAGAACGATACACTATCGCTTGTCTCTGATTTCCTACTGCATGTGAATTAGAAATAATGAGGACCCTTCCCAATAGTGGTTGTGAAATTTTCAAAAGTAGCAAGCCAAGAATCTAACTTATAGCATAAGTGTGCTGTTCAAGGATGGTTTGAGAGTGGAATAAGCTTGAGTGTTAGCCATGGGGTGTTTGCAAATTAGAGGGAGGTCAATTATAAGTGGGATTCTGCAGTCATAGAGAAAAGGAGGTAGGAAGGCAAAAAAAACCACACCCCTTCACAATAGTAAGAGCAAACTAGATGTTATGGAATCAAAATATGCTGGTTTTAGAGTCAGGAGACAGGTTGAAGGCATGGCTCTGACATTTCCTAGCTGTGTAACCCTTTGCTTCTTTCAATTTATTTTTCCTTAGCTGTAGAATGAGATTATTAAAATCCATTATTAAAATTTCAATTGGTTTCTGTGAAGAATATCTGTACAATTTATAAATATGTAGAAATGAGTTACTATTACTATTCCTAAACCTTGTTTAATTCTAGCAACCTTATATTCTTAGGAAATCACGATATTTTTTTAAATGAAAGATAAATATATACTGAGTGGGAAGTTGGTTTTTCTGGGTTCATTTTTGCTCTATCACCAGTTGAATTTATTCAACTTTAGTTTCATGATGTGTTGGGGTGGGAGTACCATGGAGCCTTTGTTTTCCACAGAACAGATGTATCATAAATGTTAAATTGGTCTCCTTCACATTTGAAAGTTCTTTGAGTCCCTTGTTGCAGGAAGAGACTCTGAAATGCTTCTTCGTTTGTTTATTAAACTTCTCAGGGCTCTTTGAAGAAAACACTAAGGAGCTGTGCTACTTCATACCCCATACCCTCAGGTGGAACGGCAGATAAAACCAGGGAAGGCAGTTTTCAGACAGCGCAGCCTCAATTTTACCTGTTGGGTGGAGAAACAAGGATGACACTGGATCTGGGCATTGAAGAAGACACTGATGAGCTTCCAGTCATTATGAAAATTCAGTTCCTAAAATGAGAAAGATATCAGGGCAGAGTGAGAAGATGGTAAGGCCTTATGCCAGAGCCATAAATTTGACCCAAAGCATGAAAATTGAAGAGGATATTGATAGAATTGGAGTTCCTTCAACAGCACAGAATAAACTAAACTTAGAATTGAATAAACTAGAATAATTTTATTCAAACTGGAGAGCTATCAATTGACTTCCTCTCCCTAGCTGACCACAACCAGTTGAGCTCTGACCTAGGCACATGCTCCAGCAATGTCCTTGAAGTATTCCAGGACCTCTCCTTATGTACCCTACCCTGTTCAACTAAATTTACATTTAAAAGGTTGAATTAGGAATATGTTCCATGATGTTTATTTGAGGAACCAGTTCTGAAAATATCTGAATATGTCAATTATAGACAGAGGACTCTAGAAATTCATGTGGCCTATTCAAGTCTGTTGGATAAAAGTCTCTACAGCACCAACCGAATTTTCATGTAAAATGGGTCTAACATTTGCTTGCATATGGTATAGCACCTATATTTGAGATCTAATTCTGCACAAACTGGTTTTGCTACCATCTTCAAGTTCAGATTTACTGACTCTTATTCCAAACCACTCAATGAGAACTTAAACTAAACTATTCTTGGGTTAATGTATGTTGACTCTGGACTAGGAGGTCCAAGTTATCTCAAACATAACCAGACCTGATTTTCTACTTTGCTACCTTTTATCCATCTATAAGACATTTAACAGTGTTTACAAAAGTAAATCACCAAGGCAATAAATAACAGACACGATCTACAAATCTACTGGGTAATGTTACAAAAAGCTTCCCTCTCAAAGAATCTAATCATTAAGGCCTACTATTTGAAGTGACAACGAGAAGTCAACCAGTAATCCCCCTAATTTTATTTAGATACCCACATGAAGCATCCGAGACAGGCAACCTATGGAGGATCACCATACAAGGGTCACTTTAAAGTTCTGAAGACAAAACAAAGACCTGTGGGCAAGTCAGGATGGTCAACCCTGGGTGGGAATAGCCTATTCCCTTTTCAGTTGGGCCTGACTGCCTTACAGTAGCTCCTGAAAGTGAATTTGATAACTCCTTACCTTGTTCTTTTTCATATCTTGTACCAGTTCTGTGGCCTGTGCCATCAGGTATCTAGGAAGCAAGAAGAGAGGGGAAAAAAAGGAAGAGAAGGAGGGAAAGAAAAATCATTGAGGTGTAGATCTATAATTCTATAAACATTATTCTAAGGTTGTAAAGTGTAAAGGATGGGAAGCTCTTAGAGGGGATACCTCTGTCCTACTGGGAAGGCCTTTGATGAAGGAACTGGAAACTCCCACCTTCACCTAGTTGAGGGTAATAATCTCAGTGACTGAGCCTACTTTGTTCATTCTCTTGATTTCCAAAGATCAGCACGCTGATCTCATTAGAGAAAATGGGCCCATTTATCAAGTCAGCATAGGAAAGCCATTTCAGGACCGGATTAATACCAGTCTCTATTTTGAAAGACGATTTGGTTAATCCAGCTTGAGTCCTGAGAGGATGCCCTCATCCCACTGTCCTCAGTGGACAGCTTAGGGTTTCTGAGGCAACAGAGAGAAGGGTAGTAATGAAAGAAATGGCAAAGGAACTTACTCATTTCCAACTCTTGGCAAAGTCTCATCAACAGGTGGACATGAAAGTGGCAACACAGATGGACTGAACCTCTTGATAAAATCTGAAAGAACTAATTATCAAGCTGCTTTTAGGTCAGGTTTGTGAGGATGGACCTAACTCGTTATCACTTATGGAATAATTGATAATAGAATTTCAGAGTTGTAAAGGACTTGAGGCCAAAGGAACAAGTCTTCAAATACATAAAGGCAATTATAATGTCCTGTCCTCCTGACTAAACACCTCCAGTCTCTTCTTCTAATCTTCATAAGACATGGCTTTGAATTTCCTAATGTGCTTAAGCTATATCTCCTGTAATACAGCAGGCTGGAATTCCTGTCTTTCTTCTAAATTTCAAAAGTTCTATCCTTCACTCCCTGACTCTCTGGTAGGAATCCTCCCTGTATTAACTGGAGAATTGGCCTATAAGTGGTGTATGGAGGAGAGGAAAAAAAAATTGGTACTAGACACAGTGCCCATCCCTCAGCGTAAAACCTGTCTTTCGTCGGCTCCCATCCTCCCTCCAGAGAGTGATGGCAAGGAGTGTTTCAGAACACACACATAGAGAACATGACCAGGTGGTAATTGTGCCAGAGTATGGCTAAAAATAGTACTTTCCAAAATAGTAAGCTACATTTTGCTCCCAGGAAAAATGGAGGCAAAGCTTCCAAAGACCTGTTTGAAGAGAAAGAAAGATACCTCCACAATCCCTCTCTCTTCTATTTTCTTTTTCTTCTTGTCCCTGTCCAATTGCACCTTATGTATTTAGAGGATTTTAAAGGTCCCTTGAATTTGTCTCCCTATTAGCATACAGAAGTTCATTAAGCTCAACTAGAAAGCTGAGGCTCTGCTGGCGGCAGAGTAGAGAGAAAAGACTTGGGCTGGAAATGAGGAAACTGCTATATTTTAATCTTTCCTCCCTGCATTAACATTCTTGGGCAAATTGCTTAACCCTTTTTTGCCTCATTATTAGAAATCATGAATCTGAATCTCTGACCTATAAATGAAAGATACCTTCTGTCCCATGGATAAGAAATGCAAGATGCTTTGGATATAGTCAAGGCTGGAGTCTCTGCTAGGGGATGGTATACACACATAAATGCACATGCATGTATATGTACGCATGCACATACAAACACAAATAAACCTACATCTACATATTATGTAAATGTGCACTGGTATGTTTTATATATAGACAGCACAATAGATTAGTCACAGTGGAAAGGGGTGTGTGTGTGTGTGTGTGTGTGTGTGTGTGCGCGCTTCTCTTCTTTGTGTTTCTGCTACTGTATTCTTTGGAGCAAGAAGAATGAATCAGCCTGAGAAACATTTTCACTACACTTCAGGTTTTACTCTATGAGAAGAAAAGAGATTATCTACAAATGCAAAAGTTCTTAAAAGATGTTTTGTAAAGCAAAGGTATTGACATTATTTCCTGACTGGTAATCAGCTTGTTCTTGATTATGACCCACTGATCTTTTTCATATGGATTTGAACAATCATTTTTGTACAGTCTCTGAAGTATACTACTTTGCGCTTCTCCCCACTTGACCTTCATTCTGCTTGTTTCCCAATTCCTCCGGCTCCCCTGGGGCTTTTGGAATTCATATCTTAGCTTTCCAAACAGTAGTCAGTTCTTCCACTTGGTGGAGTCAAGTTTTCTCCCATTAGACAGATTTTAAATTGACTCTCTCCTTTGAAGGAGCTACACTTCCATCATCCCTAGTCAATATCACCTCTTCTAGTAAAAATATGGAATGTTAGAGCTAGAAGGGATAGACCTTATGGATCATCTGCCTGGATTCTCTTAATTTACAAATGAGAAAACTGTGGGCCTGAGAGGCTAAATGATTTCCTTAAGGTCATGCAGGTAGGAAGTGCATTGGCCAGACTCCCCCTCCCCCCAAATCTCCATTCCTTTCCTAAGGGTGGATAAAGCACAGGACCTGGAGTTAGGAAAACCCGAGCTGAAATTCAGCCTGACACATCCTAGCTGGGTGACCCTGAGCAAGTCACTTACTGTCTGTTTGCCTCAGCTTCCTCATCTATAAAATGGGTTTATTAATAGCACTTACATACCAGGGTTGTTGTGAGGAAAAAATAAGATAGTAATTATGAAGCCCTTAGCAAAGTACCTGGCACATAGTAAGGGTGACATAAATGTTAATTATTATTATTTCTCCCCCTTAAACTAAAGAGAAGCCAAACTCATGCCTACAGTGCGAAGCTCAATAGTTCCTGTATAAGGCAAGGTGCTTAGGAAGCAAGGAGAAAATACAGATGTGAAATTGCGACAATAACATGGGGGTCCTTTGCTGGTAAGATGATCGATCAGGGAAATTATCTATAGTGGAACAGTCTGATTAGAGCCCCCATCATTGGATTTCCTGATATGGCTCCCTCCCAGGCTATAGCTGAGGTCTCTGAAACTCTGCCTTCCCTATGGAAAAAGGTGGAAATGTTTGTGGCTAAATTGACTAATAGAAAGGTAAGTGAATGCCTTCAACCTGAAGTGTTCCTTCACCCAGGCATTCCACTGCAAGCCCTTGAAAAGCAAGCAGGTGTAGCAGAAAGTCAGGACCTGACTTCGAACCTAGGTTCTGCTACTTACTGCTTATTTACTACTTGCACCAGAATTCTCATCGATGAAGTGAGGAGGGAAACAAGGATTTGACTAGAGGGATGGGGAACCTATGGCCTTGAGGTCACAAGTGGCCCTTTAGGTCCTCAAATGCAGCCATCTGACTGAATCTAAACTTCAGTGAAAGGAACCACAGGGCCACGGGTGGCCTGGAGGCCACAGGTTCCTGACTCCTGTAAATGACTCCCAGGCTCTGATCCAAGCTGGCCTGGCAATCAGAGCACCTGAGATCAAATCCCGACTCTGCCATTAGCTGCCTGTGTGACACAGACCAAGTCACATCCCCTCTTTGGGTCTCATTGGATTCATTTTTAAAATGAAGGTATTGGACTGGATCGTCTCCAAGCTCCTTTGCATCTTTAAAACCATAAGGCTACAACCTCTAATTGTGGAATGAAGGGTTTAGGGCACATCCCTGGATCTAGTGAGTAAATCTGGCTAGTAACACATCCCATGAAGTGACAAAGCTATTAGGCCCATTTGTGGAGTCAAAACTCAAGGGTTTCGATTCCAAGGAACCAGATTCCTGAGCATCAGGTTTCACTGGTAGCCAATGTTTGGTACTCTCGTCTCTTGGAACCTTTGTGTTTAAGGGAAGCAACTGGATACAATGAAAAGACTTCTGGACTTGGAGTGAGAGGACCTATGTTCGAATCCTGAGTCTTCTATTTACTCTCTGTGTGACCTGGGGCGTTGGCTTCAGTTTTCTTTCCTGTAAAACAAGGTTAGGCTAGAGAGATGAGGGATAAGGTCCTTTCAAGCTGGAGATCTATGATTCTGTAAGTCATTTCATTGCAGCCTCAGTATCCTGTAAAATGAGGAGGCTGCTTGGGATAGATGTCAGCTAAGTTCTCTTCCAGCTCTAAACCTAGGGTCCTCTGATGGCAAGTCTGACTCCCTGGCATACCTGGCTGTGCCCTTCTAGGGTCTAAACCTCAGAGTGACCACTGATTGGCCCAACCTGAATCCCTCACTTTTCAGCTAAAGGAGAAAACTGGTGCTTTCTGATATGCAAAGCTCCTTTATATGCACAAGGTATCACAAGAGAAACTAAAGAAATATTCTTCAGAAATCATGCAAATCAGGGCTGCTGCCTTTGCAGCTGGGTGACAAAAATACCTCCAAGTACAACTTCAGTCTCTCCATACCGTTTTTACCCAAGGGCCTACAGAAAAGTATAAAGTCTGGAAAATTTGTTGGTCTCTTCCCAGCCTACTTCTAGGAGAAATCTTCCCCTTTGTGGGTGACCTGCTGGCCTTTCCTCAACATCTCTAACTCACTTCAACCCCTTCTGACACTGATGGGAATATTTGTAAAGTCTCCAGCACAGCACCTGGCACATGGAAGGTACTCAATAAATGGGCAGTAAACCAAGTAAACTATGAAGTTTTGAGGATAAAGACATTTCTCAGATTTTTTTTTCATCTGTAGATCTCATAGTACCATATTTAATTTGAATAGAGGACTTAGCTACTGGCTTAGGAGAAAAGACATTTGAGGGGCAGATAGGTGGCCCAGTGGATATAGCGCCAGCCCTGGACTCAGGAGGACTTGAGTTCAAATCCAGGCTCAGACACATAACACTCACTAGCTGTGTGATTCTGGGCAAGTCACTTAACCCCAAATACCTCACCACTACCCCCCCAAAAAAAGAGCAAAGATATGTGATTAGCATATTGGGGTATTCCCAACTCTAGCACTTAACAACTGATGTGACCCCAGGGCAAGTTGCCTCAATTCTCTGGGTCTCAGTAAAACGAGAAGGTTTAGCTAGATTATTGCTAAGGCCCCTTTCCAGCTCAAAATCCCAAGACTGTTGTCATGAGAAGAAACAATGTAGCATAGTGAACGGAGGACTGGATTTGGGGTCAGTGAAGAGATTTAGACCCTTCCCATCTATCTCCGGTAGAGGCAGCTGGTGGTCCAGTGAATAGAGGGCTGTGCCTGAGTTAGAAAGACCTCAAATAGTAATTCTTAACTCTGTGAGCCTAGACAAGTCACCTAATCTGTGTGCCTGAGTTTCTTCATCTGTAAATGGGGATAACATCATCTACCTCCTGGTGTTCTTGTGAGAATAAAATGAGATAATATTTGTAAAGTACTTTGTAAATCTTGGCTATTCTTGTTATTTGTGTGATCATGGGTCAGACACAACTCCTCAGGCTCAATTCTTTCATCTGTCAAATGGGGGTAATATGATGTTCCTGCCACTTCCTTCAGGGCAGCTGGGTGGTGCAGCAGATAAGAGTGCCAGGCCTGGAGTCAGAATACTCTTCTTTCTGATTTCAGATCTGGCCTCAGAACATTTACTAGCTGTATAACCCTGGGCAAGTCATTGAACTCAGTTTGCCTCAGTTCTCCCATCTGTAAAAAAAGCAGGAGAAGGAAATTGCAAACTGTTCCAATATCTTTGCCAAGAAAACCCCAAATGGGGTTGTGGAGAACATAACCGAAACAACTCAACAGCACTGAATTTCTCACAGCATAATTCTGGAAAGAAAGCCTTAAAGCACTGCATATGTGAATTATTATTTAGTCCTTTCACCTGTCTGGGTCTCAGATTCTTTACTTCTTAAGAGAAGGTTGAGCTAGATGATTTTTAAGGCCACTTCAGCCCTGACATTCTATAGGGCCTGACACATAAGAGGCACTTAATGTTTGTCAATTGACTGATTGATTGATTGATTGGGAAGAAAAAGTTATTAGAACTACATAAGACAAGAGACCTTACCTGTCACCACTTCCGTGCATGTCTCAGTTTGGTTTCTTTCAATCCTGCAAAAAGAAGTAAAGATGGAATTATATTTATCAAGTGCAATGCAATATGATCAGGATATTGCTTGCATTTTGTATATTAAAGTATTTCTGGAATCAACAGTTCAGAAAACTAGGTTCTAGGCTTATCCTTGAACAATAAAAGACCAACCAGCATATGCCTTGAGTGAGAGAATTAGTCCTACTCATACAAAGTGAGGTATTAAAAAGGCATTTGCTTGGTTTTTTAACTTGGATAAAATCAGATAGCGTCCTTATAAAACTGGCACATGGCTTGGTGGATAACACACTGGATGTTGATAGTTCGGAAAACTGAGTTAATGACACTGAGAAGAAATTTAATAGGGATGAATGTAAAGTATTATATCTGGGTTAAATAAATTGACTTCATAAGTACAAGATGGAGGAGGCACGCTTAGAGAGCAATTTGAAAAAGATGTAGGGTTTTCGCTGGACTATAAGCTCAATAAGTCAACAGGCCGGTAGAACATCTTTGCAAATACAGTCACGGGTTGTACTAAGAGAGGCATGGACATAGTTCTCCTGATCTCTGCCTTCATCAGATCATACACTGTACTTGTATCTGAAGGGCTGCTGTATGGAAGGATGAGACTTCTTGTATTTTGCGCCAGAGGGCAGAGCCAGGAAGAAAGGATAGAAATTGCAAAGCAGAAAATTTAGACTCTTATCAGGAAAAAATTTTCTATACCTAGAGCTTCCTGCAAAAGGATAGGCCTGACTCCAGGGTTCTCCCTCTCTGCAAGTCTAACCATTGGCCAGACATTGGGGATTCTTGTTCAGGCATGAGTTATAGCTGGCAGTCTTTGAGATCCCTTCTAACTTTGGAATTCAGTGACTTGCTTCATTTTCTCGATCCAGCCTCCCCTTTCTCCCCCATCTGTCTCTTCTCTGACCCCAACAGGCCGACCCCAGGCCTGCCTGGTGATAGGCCCCCAATATAGCATGAGGCCTATGCCAACTGTCACAAATATGCCAAAAACAATTCCTGTTTACCATTTTTGCTGTTTCAGGTCGATGCTTGCATCTGGGGTCTGGAAAAGACACAGGAGATGAATCATCTAATCAAAGGATTGCAGCAGTGATGCAGAGGCAAATTCTGAGCCTCAATTTCTCTCTGAACTCAACTGGTTATCTGAATCGAGGGGAAGAACCCCTGGGATCCGGGAAAGGATCAATGGTACCCTGTGCCTGGGAGGAAGGGAGGAAATAGCCAACTGCCTCCACTTACCAGACATCTGTGTGAAAGGGTCAGAAGAATAAAAGATTGGAAATCAGGAGGCCAGGGATCGAATCCTGGCTTTGCCACTGCTAAGTAGCCGTGTAACCCTGGATGATTCATTACCCTCCCTTATCTGGGCCTCACTTGACTGAAACAATCAGTTAACAAGGGCTTATTGAATACTGTATGCCTCTGCTCATAATTCAGGTGTTAGATGGAGGATTTTTGTTCAGGTACAAATTAAACTGGACAGCCTCTCAGGTTACTTCACACTCTGAGATTCTGTGATTTCTTTGTATCCTCTATACAGTCCCTAATACATAGTAGGTGCTTAATAAATGCTTGTTTACTGATTCATACTAGCATCATGATAAGGATTGTAAATTTTTTTTAAAAAGGTGCCATTACTCTATTTTCCCCTTTTAAAAAAAAGAAAGTTCTTTTCCACAGCTTGATTGATTTAGAGATAGGCCCCAAATCATTCAGACCTCAGGTCTGACCAGAGCTGGTGATGACCCCTGGTAGGCACGAAGGTCCCTCCCTGAGCCCTCCTCTCAGGGCCTGACAGAGGCAGAAACCAAGTAACATGCTTTCGCTTCAGGGGGGAAGCCGAAGGCTAAGCTAACCTTCAATTCCCCATTAAGGATTCCAGCTCTGGTTGGAGAGTCACTAGGGAGCTAGCTATTCTGCTCAGTGGAGATGACAGCCCCCAGGCTCAATCAGGGAGGAAGGGGGCCTGATTGACAAGAACTGTCAGCTCAGACAGTTTAAGAACAGCAGGGGAGAGGGAACTGCTTTATGTGAGGGTGGGGGTGGGGGCAAGGGGGAGGGTAGGTGGAGGGGTGAAAGAACTTACTGTATTGGCTTAAGTAGAATGAACTAGGTCTTGGAAGACTATACTTCCCTGCCTGATGTTACTCTGGCATGGAGTGAAAATACACAAGCAGAGCCTAGTGCAATTCCTGGGCTATGAAATGTAACTAGTATAATTCACAAATCTTTCCCACAAAGCCCCTTTCCCCTCAATTATTTCAATCTCTACTTTTGCATCTTTCCCAATAGCAATTCCCACCTTACTCATCCCCCACAACCCCAGACAGCCTAAAAACACCTGCGTAGATATACATATATGTGTATATATATATATATACGTATATATTTACAAATTTTCACCATTCGTTCTCTCTCTACATATATAAATGTACACACATACATGTTTCTGTGTATGGCTATATGTTTACAAACTTCCAGTGATCTCTCTCTCTCCCTTATTCCAGGTATGTGTATATCTATGTATGTATGAATATACATATTTATAAACTTCAAGTGTTCTCTCTCCCTCCACATATATCTGTATGTTCATATTTATACACTTCCAGTGTTCTATCCTCTCTTGCTCTCCACATATGTATGCATGTATATATAGATATATTTATAAACTTCTAGTGTTCTCTTTCCCTTGCTCTATCCCCATATGTGTGTATATGTGTGTATGTGTATGTATTCGTATATATTTATGTACATGTATTTATAAATTTCCAGTGTTCATTCATTCATTCTCTGTGTAGCTGTGTATATACCTGTAGTCATAAACTTTCAGTGTTCTTTCTCCCTCCCTCCACACATATGTATGCTTATAATTCTCTTTGCTCTCACCTGCCTGCCAAATATGTGTATGTGTGTACATATATTTATAAACAAGTATTCTCTCTCTGTCCCTCACTCCCTCCGCATGCCCCTCATTCCCTCCACATGTGTATTTATATACATATATTTATGAACTTCCAATGCTCCTTCATTTATGCTCTCATACACATGTGTATACACACACAGACACAGTCCATTTCTTGGCATAAAGTAGGGGGCAAGAAGGTGTCAGCTTTCACTCTAGTCAATGGGAAGTTTCTAAAACTGTTTTTGGTCCTCCCTTCCCCATAGTTTGGGAAATGCTGGAAAGAATACATTGGAAAGAACACTGGGTTCAGAGTTGGAGGAGCAGGGCTCAAAAATTCCTCCCCCATAATTTACTACTTGTGTGACTTTGGGTGCCTAGGATGGGTAAGCCACGCAGTGATTTTGGACATCTGCTAACATGAATTCACTTTCCATCTCTGGGCCTGTTTCCTCACATGTAAAATGAGAGGGTTTGACTAGATGACTCCTGAGGTCCTTTCTCGTTCTAAATCTATGACCTTATAAATCCTGACTCTGTCATTTACTATCTGTGGGACCTTGAGGAGGTTGCTTCCTTCCTCTTACATTCAATTTCCTTTCCTACTTAAAAAAAAAGTCTAGGTTTCTAAAGTATCTTCCAGCTCCAAACTTTTATGATTCTATGATTAACATGCACAAATGCTGATGCATTTTCCTTTACATTTAGCCCCCAAAACTGACTTGATAAGCACAAAATAGGATGAGGCCTGGTTGGGAGACTGAAGCTGGGTGTGGTGGTGCATGCCTATAATCTCTGCTACTGGGGATATGGAGGCTGAAGTTACTGAGCTCAGGCGCTCTGAGGCTCTGTAGCACTAGAGCCAATCCAGTGTCCATCTGCCCCAATCTAGCCCCAATACCATGAGGCTGCCCTAAAGGAAGGGCAAAACAGTCGATGTAGAGGAGGTCAAAGCTTCTGGGCTGCTCAATAGTGGAACTGAGCTCCAAGATGGGGTCATTCAAAAAAAAAATTAAGAGTCAACAATGAAACACAACATAATTTTCAGAACAGTGGATATGATTGTTGCCTTGCTCTCTGCCCCGAGTCAATCCACACAATTATGATTTTAGTCAGTTCTGGACACTATATTTTAGGAAAAATATTGACAAACCAGAGAATATTCAGAGGAGAAACAACCAGGAGAGTGAAGAGATAATGTCTAGACTGTAGACTTGAATTCATTAAAGGAACTGGGGAGATTTCCTTTTATTTAGATGGCAGAAAGTGCCACCCCAGGCTCTTCTAGGATTTCTCAAATACACATATTATTATCCTCTCTTATGATCATAGATTTAAAACTGGAAGAGACTTTACAAGTCATATCCTCAGTTCATAGATGATGAAAATGAGACCCAGAGAAATTAAGCAAACTATGTAAGGTCACACAGATACTAAGTGTCTGAATTGGGATCTGAACCAAAGTATTACCAACTCTAATGCCATTGTGTTCAATGCTTGATCTTGTTTTCAAGTTTATAGCCCTGATTATCATCCATGCTAAATGTAAACCTTCCCAAGTTGCTGTAAGTACTTACAATTTCCAGGTTCCCAATGGCCCCGACGACTTTGATATCAGAAATTCTCAGGGTATGAACTGTGAAGGCAAGAATCCTATTTAGGAAGAATAGACTCACATTCCCAGGCAGAATCCACGTGGAAAATACCATCCTCACAAGAACTAATGCTTAGGATTAGAAGAAGGAAGGCAGCATAAAGAGGGTAGAGATTGGAACCATTGCGATCTAGATTCAAATACCACCCATTACACTTACTAACTGTGTGATATTGGGCAGGTCACACCCTCTCTGGGCTTCATTTTCCTGAACTATAAAATGAGGGAATTCTGAGGTTCCTTCAAGCTCTAGATTTCAAAAACATTCAAAGCCAGGGCAAGAAATAAATGAAGGGGACAATGGAACCAGGAAAGGGGAAAAAAAATCCTCATTTTCATAATAAGAGATTTTAATTTCTAATATGACAGGTATCAATAGATATAGTCCACATAAATAAACTCAGGAGTTCTCAATAATTTAAGAGTTTAAAGAGGTCTCGAAGACCAATAAGTTTAAGAACTAAGATACATGGTATAGTACAGTGAGTGATTTCAAAAATCTCAGCAATTTTCAATTCATAGGAAAGAAAGCTAGATAAGATGCCCCATCCAGGCAAAAACTAAAGGTTTAGTGATGGTTTAGTTCTTTCAGTGATGGTCTTGGATAGCTGTGTTGATGACTACTGTTTGTCCTTCACTCTCAAATATAATCAATGACATCAAAAAGTTGGGGTAAAGTAATAGTGGGTGATAGCTTGATTTAAGGATGAATTGAATTTAGGTGAGGCAGAGTTGCACAGAGTTGTCAGTCTGACTCTCTACCAGTTGAAGTGCGATAGCAAAACAAAAGTCAAGATGACTGGCAATGACCTAGGATGCAGTGGGTGACTTTGGCATTTTCAATGTCTGACTAAGCTCTAAATGCTTCACAGTAAGTGTTTCAGCCACCTTCATGGCCATTGGAACAAAGTGTTCTCCTCTGCCCATTCCTCTGGGGAAAGTCTTCACATGCTTGGGGTAAGCATCTCATCAACAGATTAAAGGCTTGTTGGTTACTCTCAACCCACATTTAGACTTGGCTAAATGCCTTGTATGTAGATAATAAAAAGGACGGATGAGTGGGCTAGTAGCAGCATCCACGTAACTAAGAGGCTAGATTTGGTATTGGCAAAATTGATGAAATATCAATGATCAATCAATAGCCGACCCAGCTATAGCCTTCAAGCACCAACCTGACTCTGAGGGAGAGTTAGATTCTATCTCCTCTGGTCTGCAGGGAAATGAAAAATTCTTCAGAATCTGCAATGAGAAACGAACATCAGAAATACTGGTGGCATTGTATGGAAACCACACACAAAAGGGTCCAAAGAAAGAACCACAGTCTTCTCTCCAGAAGCTGTAGCTGCCTACTATGGAACCTTACTCACACGAGGATGCGAATATATGCCCACAGACCTGCCAGTGGTACTCAGGGCATCACCCTAGGAGAGAGTATGTGGGGCAGGAGGAAGAGGATGATCAAATCTAGAAGACTTAATTTTCTGGCCTTTATAGTTACAGGAGGAGTTATGTGAGCAAGTGCCATCTGCTACTGGAGAAACCAAGGGGACTGAAAAGCTAATGTAGCTTTAGCCTAAGGGGAGAATAAGGTTGGCCAAGTACCATTCATTAAAGAGACAGGAACAATATTAGAGTACCGGCAAATCTTTTTGAGGTAGCCTAATGGAGAGAGGGATGGACTCACAATCAGGAAAACCTAAATTCAAATCCTGCATCAGACTCTTACTATCTGTATGGTTCTGGAAAACATTCCACTTTTCTCAACTTTAACTTCCTCATCTATAAAAACGGGGATGATATGATAGAAGCACCTACCTTGCAAGGCTATTGTGAATGTCAAGTGACTCTCCTTTGAGAGTCAAGTGTATGTGTATAGTATTTTGCAAATCTTAGAGAGCTATAAGTGCTATAGTTATTTTTCGCCAAGCTTTTACAATGTTCTTAGTAATTTTGTATATTTTGGATTTAATGATCTTTGTCAGTCCCCCATTGCTCACCCCCAAATATGAGCTCTCTCAAGCAAAGGGCTGTTTTACTTTGTCTTTCAATCGCCAGCCTGGCATATTGTAGGTTTTTAATAAATACTTATTGAGTGAAAGAATAGATGAATGTTATGTTCCCCAATAGAATAAGGCCCCTGGGAGCAGGTATTATTTCTTTTTTGCCTGTCTATCACTAGTACCTAGCACAATACCTGATGCTTTGGAGTCACTTAACAAATGCTTGTTATTTTTGTTGTTTTCAAGTAAATTCTGATACTGTTTCGACCACAGTAGACCCCTTGTAGGTGGAGAAACCATTTTGAGGAGAAAAAAAACTAGTGATTTTTTCATCAAAGGGTACAAGGGGATAATCCATTGTTAGGGAAAATAGTCAAATAACAAATTCTTGGATGAATATTTTGGAGTCAACCTCTCTCCAATTGTTGATTGCATAGAGAACTAGAACTGACAGTGCAGGTGCTTGCCTTGTAAGTGTTCTAGAAGACTTTAACCAGATGGATATGAATAAGTCACCTTATTTGTCTCAAGGTTCAAAGAGATACCAGAACCATTCACTAATCCTTTTTGAATACTCCTGGGAGTTGCCTTTTCAAAGAGAGGATATCAAGAAGGGGAAGGGCCAAGTGACAAAAGATAGTACAGCCATCACCAGGTCAGTGGCCTGAATGTCCCCCTGGGAAACAAATTATTGACACCTAATAATCTTTATTGACCCAAGGAGAATTACAAGTAAGACCTGGTTCTATCCCTCTATACTCTGCAAGGCCCTCACCTCTGACCATGTTTCTTCTTCCCAGGTGTCATTTCCTAGAACAGCTTGGGTAGTGGTCACTAGAAGAAAAAATAACAAATAAGAAGTTTAGAAGGATATCTAATCATGCAGCCTCTGCACCCTCAGCTTGACCTCTTTGGTGTCCTTGACCCATTATCACATTCATTCTCATCTCTAAGCATTCCCTAATGTCATTGACTTTGCTTTGAATGCTCACCCTGCTCCTCACTGCCTATGAAAACTCTTATCCACCTTTCAAGGCCCCTCCTCAAATATTATATCTTCTAAGAAGTCTTTTCTGACTGCTTCAGTCTCACTGATTTCCCTCATCTCTGAATTTCTAGTTTGGTCTAGTAACAATAACAGAATAAGGGAAATAGTCAGGAGTTGGTTCCAATCTTGGCTCTGCTCCATCTACCTCTATGACCTTTATCACTTAATCTGTGAGTATAGTTCTCCTTTCTACACAGAGACTTTCCCTATCACAGTTTGAATATATCATGGGTCAGCATAAGAAATTAAATGGAGAGTTTTACGGAAGCTGTAGATGACACAGAAAAAGTTTAGAAACTCAGCAATGTATAATGCTGTAAGCACCTCATGAAAGAAAAAGAAAAAATTCAGACTTATTCTCCGGTACAAAGGGAGGGCCAAAAATTTTTATGCAGATTTTCCAGATCCACAGGGATCTGGGGTTAGGGGCACCCAACATGGAATGGATAACTGTATTCCCATCTTTAAAATGGTAATAATATACTTACACCTTATAAGGTTCTTTCTGGGCCAATTTTTGAAATTGCATATGTTGTAATATCATTTAATGCAAGTCACAATAATAGTACTATATACCTCAACATATAACTATATGTAATCATATTATTGAAGAATTTATCCACTCCCACCACGTAAATCCTAGCATACCCATAATTTTCATCACCTTTACAGATGTACATGGCAGGAGGCTGCACACGTAATGACAACCCTCTCATAGGGAAGCTATGGCCTTTCAGGCCAAGCGTAACAGCTACAGGTGCCTTGATCCCCTTTAGAAATAAGCATCCTATCTGGATTGTAAACTCAACCTTGATACAACACTAACCTATCCCTTTGTAATTTCAATCCACCAGAATTTCTCTTATTATGAAAGTTTGCCTTTAAAAGGGTGAGATAGCATGACCCAAGACAGTTCTAAAAGACTTACAGAAAATGCTAACCACATCCAGAGAAAAAACTGATTCTGAATGCAGATCAAAGGATACTATTTTCACCTTTTTTTGTTTTTGTTTTTTCTTTCAGAACGTGACTAATGTGGAAGTGTTTCCATGATTGCACATGTATAATCTATATTATATTGCTTGCTATTTGGGGAGGGGAAAAGGAAGGGAGGGAGAAAAATCTGATAAAAAAAATATCAATCTGATAAAAATGAATATTGAAAACTATTTTATCATGTAATTGGAAAAGATAAAATACTATTTACAAAAAATAAAAATAAAAGGTTAAATGAGGTCTGAGCTTGGTACCAGGCTCATTATGTATGGCCCTTTCCCATAGTTTGGGAAATGCTAGAACGAATACATTGGAAAGAGTACTGGGTTTGGAGTTGGAAGAACCACATTTAAAAACTCCTGCCCTACCATTTACTACTTGTGTGACTTCAGATGCCTGGAATGGGTAAGTCACAGTGCTATGATTTTGGATATCTGCTAAGTCATTTTCTATCTCTGGGCCTATTTCCTTATATGTAAAATGACTCCTGAGGTCCTTTCTAGTTCTAGGTCTATGATCCTATAAATCCTGACTGTCATTTACTATCTGTGTGACCTTGAGGAGGTTGATTCCTTTCTCTTACATTTAATTTCCTTTTCTATTAAAAAAAAAGTCTAGATTTTTAAGGTATCTTCTAGCTCCAACATTTTTATGATTCTATGATTAATATGCACAGATGCCAATGTATTACACATAAGTTTGCCATGTATGTAATAGTAAACTCCTTTTGTTACATTTTCCTAAACCTGATTTACTAGGCTGAAGCCCTAATGAAGATTTTTTCCTTTCCATATCATATTTGTCACTAATGATTGTCTCCCCAACTAGATGGCAAGGACTGGGTCTTATTTAAGTAAATAGTCATTAACAAACACAAATATTTGAACATATAAAGATGAATTTGAAAATAGTATAAAAACTCTGAATTTCTATTATATAAAGTTCGTATCTATCTTGGTATAATGTATACATGTATATGTGGGGATACCCTGTATAACTTATTCTCTGTATATGTACCATAAATTTAATATCATAGCAAAACTGCTCTTTTTGCTTATACCTTCTTCACCACTTTTGTTTTCTTCTATAAATTTACAAATGTTTCATCAATGCTTTTTTTTTGCCAGAAAAAGAAATACCCATTACTAGAGGCAGCCAAGCTGCAGTGGATAGAGTTGTCCAAGGAGCCAGGAAGAGGTGGGTTCAGGTCTGTGTAACCCTAGGTCATCATACCTCTCAGTGCTCTAGAAAACCCTCTTAGGCTTGGAAGTTGCAGAGAAGGTACTGAGCTGGGTTCATAAAGTGTTTCTTATGACAATGAGATCATAGGTCACATCATTGCCACTAACCATGAGCCTATTCCTTCCTCCTCAGTCCCAAGAGAAGCCTTCTCTTGTAATAGATGTCTGTAGTGGAGCAACACATTGCTTAGGTCTGAGAATGCATCTCACCCTGCATGACTACTCCATCATTACTTCTCTACCAAGAGATGCGAGGCATATTAGACATTTTAAAATCATATTTGTTTGCCTTACTAAACAAGTTGAGATCTTTCATTGGCCAAACAATTATGATATGTATGAAGACCTTTATAAATTTTCTGATCTCCTACAACAATTTAATTCAGCAAACATTTTTGAGTCCCTAATGTGCCAGGCACTGTGCTAAGCACCAGCGATACAAAAAGAGGCAAAAGACAGTCCTTGCCTTTAAGGAACCTACAATTTAAAGCAGGATCCATTCAAACAAATGTATACAAAGTAATCTATATACAGGATAATATAATATAGAATAACAGGATAATATACAGGATAATAGAAAATAATGAAAGGAAGGAAACTGGAATTAAGAGGTGTTTGGGGATGTTTCCTATAGAAGCTGGGATTTTAGTTGGAACTCAAAAGGAAGCCAGTGAAGTCAGTAGTTGGAGCAGAGGAAAGAGAAGTTTTCAGGCATAGGAAACAGTGAAAGAAATGTCCTGCAGTGAGAGAAATGTCCTGAGCTGAGGAATAGAATGTCTTGTTTGTGGAAATAGCCAGGAGGCCAATGTCATGAATTGAAGAATCTGAGGAGGAGGTCTAAAAAGACTGGAAAAGTAGGAGGGGGTTAAGTTATGACCTGGAATCAGTAAGACCCAAGTTCAATCCAGGATCAGAGGCTTATTTGCTGGTGTGTGACCCTGGGTAGGTCATTTAACCTCTACCTCTACCTGCTTCAGTTTCTTCAACTGAAAAGTGGAGATACTAATAGCACCCACCTCCCATGGTTGTTGTAAAAATAAAATGAGATGATATTTGTAATGTGTGTTTTGCAAACCATAAAGACCTATCTGAATGCTGGCCACTACTACTAGTAGAACATATACTAAGAAATTACAATGCAGTAGAGGTAAGGGGGAAATCAAGAAAGGCCTCTTGTAGAAGGTAGAATTTGAGCTGACTTTTGAAAGAAGCTAGGGATTCTGGGAAGTGGACATGAGGAGGAAGTGAATTCTGGGTATAGAAGACAGCCTATGGGAAGGGGAGATGGCAGACAGACGTTATTTCTTCTCTTTGAGACATTTGGCTTTGTTCCTGTCAAATGGGGATAATCACATTTGCACCACCTACTGTAATGACTTGCAGTATCACTTTCAATAAGAGGACCCAGCTCAAAGTTCCAGGCACTGATTTGAGAGTAGAAACTTTTTTTTTTTTGAGACTGGGTCTCCCTATCTCTCCCAGGTTAAAAGTGCTGGGGTCACTCATGGTTCCAGTCCCACTGCTTTTTTAGCATGAGAACTTCTAACCTGCTTCATTTCCAAGCTGTGACAGTCTGCACCCTCCATAGGCAGTCTGTTGGCTCCCTGCTATCAGGGCTCACCATATTGATGCTAGATTTAGTGTAGATCAGATTGGCTTAACCTGCTTCAGCTCAGAGCTGCTGAGCTCAAGTGATCCATCAGCCTCAGTTTCCCTTGTAGCAAGGATTATACCTGTGCTCAAACCCATTCTCTCCAGATCTTCTTCATAGCTTCTAGCCATTGCCTCTCCCTTTTGCATTTGTCAAATGGCTTTTTTTTGATTCTAGGTATAGGAAAATGCTCAAGTGATTTTAAAGACATTAGAATCACAGAATCTTAGCTATGGCACAGAGAGGGAGTGGAATAGAATGGAAAGCAGAGAGAAACTAGATTTGAGAGATATGCATTCAAATCGTACCTTACTCTGTCATAAGCTGTGTGATTATGGGAATTCAAAGGAAGCTGAGCATGATAGTTATAGAGAGGCAAAGTAAGCATTGAGTGCAATGGGAATTTTGAAGTAACCCACAGAGAGTGCATTATTTCTACATTTATATCAGTAGTAAGTAGCATCTCTGAATAGACAAAATGCAGGTTGGTCCCTCTACAGTAATGGAAGACAAACACCTCTTTACACTCCAGATTATCTGGTGGATTGAAGTGTTCCCTGAAAAACTGGAAGAGCCCCACCACACACACACACACACACACACACACACACACACAAACCCAACAAGAAGGAAAAAAGAGGGAATTTTCATCTGCAGGGTTATCCACCACCACTGACACCTAAACATAGAGGCTTCAGAAGAGGGGCAGATTTGGGAATTGAACAACTGGTTAAAAAGTGATTTGGAAAAGATATTTTAATTTCTGAATCATAATTTAAAATTGGAAAGGGAGGGAGGGAGAATATTTGTCTATATATAGGTGTCACAGAGAATAGCAGGTATAACATACGAATCAATAAAGAGCTGATAATTTGAAAAAGAAAATTTCCAAAAAGAT